AACCAAGAAGCAGCATCCCCTCACAGAGCCCCTGGAAAAGAGCAGCATTTGGTGGATATTTTGGCAAGTCAGTGATAACAGCGTGACAGATGCGCTTTCCTCTTGAATCACTCTCTATTTACAGGTTTAACGAGGAAGAACATGCAATGCCTACCAAGCCTGAAAAAGAAAAAGGCTGAAATAGTACTTGCACCTGGTATTTTATAATGCATTCTGCACAGATCAGAATTACTCCCACTTCGCTAGGGGAAAACAGATAAAGTAATCTATCCAGCAGGTCAGTGACAGAGCTGGGAACAGACTCATGTCTCCAAGTTCCAGTCCCATACTTCATTTTTGATGTCACACCAAAAGCAAAAAGGAGCTCACCAGCATTTACCACCTTAACTCACACCATAATCAAGACAGATCCACCAGTTACATCAGTACTTAATAATCGGAAGTGACAGGAGTCAACAGAAAAGGCCTCGTTCTAGAAACTCTATAAATAATAAGAAAGCCACAAAACAGCCTGGACATCTTGCCAGGGTATGGGAAGAGACAGGAAGAGACCTCTATCTTGTCATGGGGACAGGAATGACTGGTGGGCTTACTACGCTCAAGAGAAACAACCACAGGTGTACAAATCACGCGTTACTTCTCAGTCCACAGCACTTGACCCAAAGAATTCATGGAGCACTTTTGAAATAAGATTTTCTTTCCAAACCAGATACAGAGTTCTCACACTGGCACATACGACAGGTCCCTCCACACCAGAATCCAACCTAGGATTGACCAGAAGTTTTTGTTCCCTTGAAAGATTTAAGAATTACCAGAAACTCCAGCTGATGCACTACAACATGCCCATCATATATATCTCTCTCTCTGGGCTCCAGCACACGACGACCGAGACCCTGAAAACACTACAATTAGTACCTCTTCCAAGCTATCGTTACTTAACTACCAAGGTTGCTATTATAAAAGAAATATCTACCCCCTTTTTTAAGCCTCATGTAGATCCTGGCTCATCATCTTCTTGTGAACAACAGATGCACACAAAACCAAACATTTATCCACAAACCTCAACTGTGAGTGGTTCAAAATTCGTAACACTGTCCTTAAAAGTGGCTTTTTGGTCCGGCTTGAACTTCTTCTTCTGCTTTCCTTGATCTCCTTGACTCCCTTTTCTTTTCTGTGTTTGTTCTTCATGATGAATCTAAAGCAGATTATATAAGCAGTCAGGAAAATAACAAAAGTAAGCAAAGAGATGACCACCGTGCTAAGGAAGAACTCCACTGCTAGGAATACAATTAGAGGAAAATACCAGGACTGTAGAGAAAAGGGAACACCCTTGCTAATCCCTATGTGTCTACATGCAAGTCTTCCAAAATATCTCCTTTTGGGCTGAGGCTGACCATTTATAAAACTGTAAAACTTACAGCGCTCAGAAGTATACGGTAAAAGTGATTTGCAACATCTGCCACTAAATAGAAAGACTAACAAACTTGGCCTACATCCACTGACTCCAGCATCACTATACAAATTGGTCCAATCCTGCCACGCAGAAGCGAGCAACTCAGGATCAGATACTTGTGGAACGTTAAAATATTGAAGTCTGATCAGTAATTTTGATTGAAGTTTTTGTCATCACGTTCACCAAGTACCAGATGTCCAAGACATCTAAAAGGTCACAAGACTGGTGGATGTCAGCAGATATGTCTTTCCCAAAGTCCCAATAACACAAACGCTATCAGACAAATCTATAGAAGTCAGTGATAGGAAGGATTTCAGGCTATAGTCTGACAGTGGAAGAGCTCTGAGAAGAGTTAATTGAGAACATACAAACAACATACATCAAATAAGTTGTCCTGCTCTATCTTTGGCTTAGGTGTTTTTCCCTCCGTGGGTTTTTTCTGGGTGCCACCTCGAGGAAAGTTTTCTTCCACGGATGCCATGTTTACACTTCTAGGGGGCAAACAACAAAACAGATTAAATATACAGTTATTATGACTACTCCTCACCAAAACCGAAAAAAGCCAAAAGAGTTACTCAAAAACTAAACAAGAATTCCGATGCCTACTTTGCAATTAATCAGTGGCAAAATCCAAACTCTCGCCCAAACGTCTCTAACGTTTGACTACACCGAAGTGTTGTGAGGGTGTATCTAAACATATGCACCCCTGTATCTAAACATATGCACCCCTACCTTTTTTTTTTAAAACTACTGCCCAATTCTACTTGACTAAAGTATCAATTTTCTAAGGCAATTAAAGCACCCTGCACATATTCAGAAAAGCATTTTAGTGACATATGTTCTCAGTAGAGGCCTCTGTTGCACTAAACGGACAAGCTGAAATTACCAGCTTTAGTCATTAAGCAGAAAAATCTTGATTAAAACAATACGTAAGCTTGGTCTGCGTTCTGACTTTTGAGCTGCTGCCTTAAAACGTGATATGACTTCACTGGTCATTGTGCAAACTAGGAATAGGCCTATATGTATTTAACTTAACAGCTATACTTAATCTTACTTTGCTTCAATTAAGAAATAAAAGCCTTTTTTATTAGGTCATGGTTCACATTCTGTGCATTACTTCGGTCCACAGCACTTACATGGAAATCAGCATTACCTTGTTAGCTTGAGAGCTTTTTAAATGGTTTATTAATCATGCAAAAACTACTTTAAACACGTTGAGTACATAATAAAACTAAAGCTCATCAAAAACACGCTTAATCAAAAGACCCACGCAGCAGTAAGACATCTTCCACGGCTGGTAACTGAACCACTTGCATGGGGGGGTCCCACCTTCTCGCACCTCCCTTCTCAGAGCTGCTCCCAACTCCCAAGACACTCTCCACTTTGGATTAAACACTCTTAAAAACTTAAAGTAACAGAAAGATTTCCTGTCTTCTCAGCGCAGGCACCGCTCCGACTAGAGCGCGGTAACCCGGGGCCGCCCAGGCCTTCCCGCAGCCACCCGCGGCCGCGCACCCAGCCGCCCCGGGGGGCTCCC